GGAAAACTCCGAACTCTCTTCAGGAGATTCCAATAATAACAGCCAATTAGTTATATAACCGTTTTTGCATAGTAACAATATTTTATAAGTTCGCCAAAACCCTCAGAAATTGCCAGAAAATTAAATGGGGAATAACTAAAAAATATTTAATATTAAAAAATGGTTAAAGAAACAATTGGGTGTTGTTATGGGAAGTCTCCTAAAGAGAACCATCGTTTTTCAAGAATTCTATACCATTTCTACAAAAAGTTGTTTTTTCCCATATAAAATACATGCAGAACTTTGAGCGTTTTGAGGGACCACAAAATATTTTTTTTGATTTCAAAATAAAAAAATTAGGGTATATTTTTTTTTATAGAGCAATGCAAGGGGGGGAGGGGGGGGTGAGAGCATTGAAATACCGACTTTACTTATTTTGGACCACCCTAATGTACATACATATGTATGTATACGCATGTGTATTTCCTTTGATTTCTAAATACCTTTGCATTCTAGTGATCGGTGCATCGAACGACCCAAATCTTCTCGAATTCACAGCAACTGACTAACACCCGATTTTTTACACTCATTTAAATTACACTCTAAGTAATCCCATGAATCACATATGTATTTAAGTACATACATATATATGTATTTGTGTTTGTGCACAGGTGGGTATATAGTTGTTTTGTGAGAACTTCGAAATTAAATGCAACGGATATGCAGTTGTTGTTTCTTAATTTATGAAAACAACGAAAAATTTCGGTGCATCCTTGTCTTATCAGAAAAAAATTAAAAACCAAATAGATTGATACGTAGCAACTTTACACCTGAAATGCTACTTAACATGAGCGAGGAGCTATTATATGTAAATGTGAAAGTTTGTATGTTTGAATGTTTGGGGTTACATCACGACTGAACGGATTTCCCTGGACTTTCGAACACAGATAGTTTATGACCTAGATTGGAAAATAGGCTACTTTTAAGAGTTGCCACCTGTTAAAAAATGTAAATTAAATTAATAAGTTCATAAAATATGACAGACAGGTGTCAAGGGTAACAAATTTGTGATGTTACTATAAAGATGCTGTTTTAGGGAAAAACTTTCCAAAATTATTGTTTGTTCCGTATTCGGCTGTCATAAATATGGTCACCGTAACCATAGGTATACTTGTACATACATATGTATGAAGTTAAGGCCAAGTGTAAACTCCAGCCTACCGAAAATGAGGTCTTCAGCATTAAGCCGAGATTTTGATGGTTAATTAAAAATTCTGAGTATGCTGTTTTAATCCACATACTCGACTAGGCTAACCACTCGTTCAAACGTTAAACAGTTTATTAAAATTTTTCTAATTTCACTTTGATCGCGTTGATTTTAAATAGTTTTTTTGTTTTCTTTCATAGAAAAAAATTGTCCAACATACAAACATACTTTGTATGGAAATAAATCTGTGGAAAATTGCTAAAAATCAACTTAAAACTTAAAAGTTTTTCCTAGAAATTCTTATTAAAAAATTTGCAATTTAGATGAAACTGTGGAAAATATTCATAATTTTTGCACAAAGTTTAAAAATTGGGTTTACATGGTTACAAAAAAAAAATAATAAACATTAAATAATGAAAAGCAAAATAGCCAATACTTAATAAAATGTCGTGTCCCTATTTTTTCCACCACTTTACTTGTGGATATTTAAATTTGATCTCAAGAACAAAGCCTTTAAGTTTTATATTATGGATTTGTTATATTTTTGTAACAATTATATATGTACCTACTTTAGCATTAAGAAATTGAACCACTTGAACCGAACCGAACCGAACCGCGGTTCAGGGATACTCGTGTACCGGTTCTTGTACCGGCACGCAAGCTTTTTCTAAGTGGTTCGAACCACTGAACCGAAGCGCACCGATTTTTGGAGCGGTTTATTGCACGTTACGAGGACAAATCGAATTCTCTTGCTATCTTAAACGCTTTTGTGAATACACTTATGCAATTGTGTACCGTTATGTAAACAAAGTACTTCTACTTATTACTCTCGTACACTAGTGAGCTCGGCTATTCAAAAAGTTTATTTTTCTTGTGTGTTATTTTGATCCCCTAAGTAATACATGTGTTGTATGCGCATTAGGGTGGCCCAGAAGTTGTTTTTTTTTTGCAAGTAGATTTATATGTCATTTTATATATATTTTTTATCTAAAGTAGTTACCTTGTATATTCACTTAATTACATAACTACAGCGGATTTCTACCCTAGCAACAACTCTCTTTTTCCGCCAGTAGTGTGACGAATAATTTCTATCGACTAATAGATAAATAAACTGCGGTTACAAAATAAAAAGCGATTCAAAGAACAGCGTCTAGTTAGTTTGCTGCAGATGGACACGGGCCGCCTCTAAGCCACTCACTAAGTCCGAAGGCGACATTCTGAGGGGGAAATCAATAATTCTGGGCTCGAATCGTAACAGTCGTGAAGGAGCAACTCGTCACGTAAATATTCGTAGTCGTGAACGTACTACTCGTCTCATATAACAGGATCATAACCCTTACTACGGTTAAGTGGCTCATGCCTCTAGTCCTTATCTAATTCATGTGAAATCCTTACTATTTACTTTAGTAATCCTTGCTACTTACTTTGGTAAGGATTGGCCATGGATTACACAAAGATTAGAGACATGAGCCACTAAACAGTAGTAAGGGCAATCGTTTGTTGAATTTTGAATTGTGTCGTTATTGACGAGGACCAGCGATATGTATATATTTGGGTAGTACTCCATAATCAAAAACTTACAGCCCTATTGCGAGTGTTGACTAGTAGCAGATAAACGACTATTACTCGATTATCGATTATCCATGGTATTTTCAATGTCGTTCCCTCGTTCAATAAGTGAGTGTGAATGGTGTTTAGTCGCTCATCCTTCTAAAAACAAAACGCTGTAGAGGGATGAGCGACTAAAAGCTATTCACAGTTACCTATTGAACGACAAATCGACATTCACAATACCATGGAAAAGCGATAATCGATATTTTGCTTATGATATTTTGAACAAAAGGAGAGTATAAAAAAACCCGTATGTTCTTGGGCACCCTAATGTACATATCGTCACCTGAAATGCAAAAGGACATAACAAAACATCGCAACTGATATGGAAAAAGTCATGACTAATATTTTTTTTTCAGAAAATGATGTGGAGAGTTGTAATTCGATGAAATTCATCATATAAATCTAAAAGTGAATTTCGAATTTTTTTATGACTTATGACTTTTTGCCGTGCAGCGATGAAGCTTGTTACGTCTTTTTGCATTTCCGGTGACGATATGAATTGTTTTGTCGACCCTTAAAACTTACTCACTGATTGACTTATGTAGTAAACACACACACATATGTATATATGTATGCACATATACATACATATGTATATGGATATATGCATTACTAAAGTGTTGAGCCTCTCTTTTGTAACTCACCTCGGGCGAAGGTAGTGGTGATAACGGTGTTGAGTTCACCTCAGCTGGATCATCTATGAAGTGTACGTGCTTTTTGGTACTATTACGGCGACTGGTATTTGTGATAAGCGAACTTTTCCTGCGACCACCGACGTAGCGATCGAAAATTTCGCCGTCTTTTATATAGTCCGGCACGCGCCAAAATGCAGGACGTTGATACGATGTGCTCATTTTGCCAACGACTGGCCAAAGAATCGACCGGACGGACGACTCACCTTCAATTCGACCGACACAGAGGCAACGAAATGAAAAATTTATAAACAAATTTTAGACGTTTTCGCAGAGAGTGAGCGAACTCCAAGAAATTAATAATTGAGAAATTGGAAAAGATCGCGCAAAAGCAAAAGAAAATCATTACAACTATGTATGTTAATATGTATGTATGAATATACTATAAATTTAAGTATATACATATGTACTTAGCAAATGATTTATGTACATATGTATATATGTACATATTTAAATATGTATTCATGCGTATGTTTGTACATCCATCCATGAAACTGAAAAAAGTCGCATTTTTTTTGTTGTGAATATACATACGCAAACATACATAAGATGCATACATACTCAGCCATATAAAAATATGTACATATGTATGTATGTATGTACATATCGTTGCCTTAATGTAAAAAGGCCCTAACTCATTTTCATTTGAAATCCAGCTTTGTAGAAAAGTCGGCAGGTTATTGACTAACCATCTAATAGAATTTAAAAATAACTACCGCAGTAATAAACTAGATCCAGCCGTCAATAAAAAACAGCAGGTTTTAAATATAATTCGCAACTAAAGAACTTTACTTTTTATAAAATTAAAAAATTTACTATGCGATGGGGCTTTTCTATATTAAGGTAAGATATCTACATAAATACATATATTTATACTTAAATGTATTGGGAATAAGATTGCTCTTACGATCTAGAAGTTAGTGAGTGGGCGGAATCCACATTTAGAACCAATTGATTTCTTCGTTTCAACAATAGTATTCTAAAAAAACGACAATTAACCATAAACCATCTGTTCATTTCACTTCATCATGGTAAATCGTTCATCCGATGATTAAGGCATTTCAAGTGAAAGACTGCACTTGCTGCCCTCGCAATACCGTCATCTGCACTTGTGCCTTCAAAATTTCGTACAATTTTTTTCCACCTTGCCAGTGGCTTTTGCTACACTACTTAAAAATAAAAATTCATAATTCTGCGATCTGATGTTTAAAGGATGTTGAACCCTAACTGATGAAAATTAATGAAATGGCTAAAATATTTCTGCTCCATATTGCATTTTGAAAGTAAAAGGTCTTTAGCGCCGCCGCGGTAGTGAATGGAAAATGTGGCATTTCTCTCCGCCCCTCTCTTGCCCCAAAATTTTAATATCGAGATATAATTGTCAAACCGAGCTACGAGGCATTTTAAGATTAGGACGAAGACACTATTGATGCTGTTCTTTCCAGCATAATACGTATGTGTGTATGTACATATATAAATTATACGGTATGAAAAGAAACAGAAACAAATAAAGAGAAAATATCGCACGCGTAATTTATTTATTATTTAGGGGTTAAATACATGGACCCACTAGCAGGTAAATAAAACAGTATACTAGAATTCAAAATTCATATTTCTTACAATCAGCAACAATTTAATATCATCACTTCACATTTTTTTTTTTTTTTTTTCATTGTATAGGTAATGCACACAGACGTAATCGCGAAGGCTCCAAGATTATTTGGAAGCCATCGCTTGAAATCCATTTTTACTTCTTGAACTTTTGCAGCTGGGGTGCCGAAAGCTTCACCTTTCCTGGTATATTTCTAGCCAGCGCTTCTTCTTTGATGCTCTTGAGTAAATCCCTCTCTCGTGGACCGCAGCTTTTGTCCTTGGAAAACATGGTTAGCGCTGTCTTGGCAGCACGCCCACGCTTACCAGTGCCTGGCGTCAACTTAACACGAAACCTTAAAAACGTAAAATCAGTAATGAAAAATGTGTAACTCGCATAGTAAATTCAAGTTTTATTACTTGTAATTTTGCAGTGCCTGGTAAGGCGCTACAACTGGTATAACGAACAATAGTTCATCGCCTTCCAGTGGCTGTCCAGTAAGTGAATCTAACATGGCCACATCAGCACCAGATAGCATATCATCACCTTCATCCATATCACCGCCCAACTGGAACGGCTCCTCTTTCCTCTCATAATTCTTCTTTTCTTTGTGAGAAACTTGCGTTTTTATTTCCTCCTCTATCTTCTTATCGGCTGCACTTATTTTATCCTTGCCCGCTGACTTCAAGATCATCATGCGCAGCTCACGCTCTTCATCATCCTGGTCCTTGTATTTAGTTTTCATCTTCTTAAGCTTACCCCGCTGTCCGCGTTTTATTTGCGAAGCATTCTTTTCTTCTTTTTCAGCCGCATTTTGTTGCTGTTGCCTTAATTCCTGCTGCGTTTTTTTTCTCTTTCTCCTCTTTCCTTTTCTTGGCATTTTGCTGCTGCTTTTTCCGGGCCGGTGCAGCTGGTATGATTGTTGCTTCTTCGTCCTCATTTATTTCTACTTTGGCTGAAGTTGTAAGCTTTTGGTGTACTACGTTAGGAGATGTGTCTACCAGTGAGTCACTTCGTATGGTAATCCGCCCTGTATCGTGTTCAATTTTTACTTGCGTATCTGGGAAGTTAGTTAAGTTGTCCGAGACATCCAACTCTTCATTCTCTTCATTTACTTTCTCCAGTTGTTGGATGCTCGGCCCCTGCTTGGCGGTTTCTTCTGCCTCGGCATCTTCATCTAGCGGGTCATCACCCTCTAGATCTATTTCCACATCGCCTTTTATTCCCAACTGATTCATTCGTTGTTCTTGCTCTTCCAATTCCTGCTGCTCTTCCTCAAAGGTGCGCAGCTTTCGCTCACCACGATGCCTTTCTACAAAACTATCTTCTAACTTGAACAGTAAGCTCAGACCCATTATCAAGTGGCACGATGGTAAGAAGTTCTTTTTGCCGCGTATCATGAAACTACCCGTACCCAGGTATTCACCGGAAGGTGCTGTCTTGGTGACTTGATCGCTGCGCACCCAGTACGCATTTGTCACAACTTTGGCATCCCAAGCCACACTGTATGATATAGCCATGGTGCCTGCTTCTAGTAATGTCTTGGGTGGTATCTCTCCTGCGCTGGGGTTTCGTATAACCACACTCGAAGCTCCTTGAATTTCAGCATGTACATAGATGTCGGATGCTCGCATGTAACTGAAATCGGAATATGGAATACACATTTTAACAAACTCAGACGAATATTTATTAAAATAAAAATATATATTTACCGTTTCACAATCAATTCATTTTGTTGTGCGTCTCTACCGCCAATAACTAAGTAATTTTCAGAACTAATAAACCAATAAAACTTTTCGAACCAATATACTTTTCTGGCTTTTGATATCGTCGATATTATACGAACTTCTTTCAACGTTTGCTGCGTCTTCCTTTCAGCTGATTTTAAGGCTTTTTGTGACGCGTCAATAGTTTTTTGCTCCTTTTTCGCTGCGTAGCGCTTCAAGTCGTAATATTTTCGAGCATTAGCCCAAGCGGATAGTGCCAAATCTACATCTACAATTAGTGTTGGCAAACCATCGGAATCATCGTTATTAGTTTCGCCATCATCAGAATCTTCCTCAAAGTTTTTATATGGATCTGAGAGCCGTAAAGATATATGATTAGTTTCCAATTTCAGTTGCTTAATCACACCAGCCACAGGATCGTCATCAGCCTGAGCTTCCTTAACAACTTTATCTATATCGGACCATGACATTTGCGATGCAATTAATGACTGAACAGCTGATATTGCGTGGTCAACTAATTGTTGATTACATGTAATCAACTCAGCCTTCTGTTTATCCACTTCCTGCGACTTTGTAAGGTTTTCAAGACGTTTGGCATGATCTTTTTTAACATTTGAAAGTTTTTTCAAAGCGTCGCGCTCCTGCTGTAATGTTTTCAGGTCTATTTTCTGCCCCTCCATCGTAGAGTAAAACTCATCCACAGCTAACATGAAAGTGTCAAACTCAGATACTGGTTGACCTTCAAACTGTGCGAACAAAAATGGATGATATTCAATATTTTGGTAAAAGGCCTCTTTCGATTCGCTACCATCAGTTGCGGGTTTCTCTTCACGTTTTTGAATAATATAACCCTTTGGGACAGAAGAGCGTCCTTGTACAAAAATCTCGTTGGCTTCCTAAAAAGAAGTTAGTTTAAACATTGGTTTATGTGCAAAACATATTCGAAAAGTTACTTGAATTGCTTGCATAAGAGTAGGTAAATCAGTCTCTATATTGAAATTTCGTGTATTAATTGGATTCCCTCCTCTTTTCTTTTGCTTCTTCGGTTTTTTGCCGGCCTTGCTTTCACCTAGCTGATTCTCTATTTCGGCGGGGACATTATCCTCTTTTTTCTCACCTTCAGATGGACTCTCTTTCTTCTCAAGCACACAATTTTCCAGTTTGTACTTATGCAGCACATGATCGATGACAGCCGGTCCAAAATCTACTTTTGGCATCAGCAAACGTCTTAAATTCTCGCCCGGGTTTGCGCTAGAAATTATGTTACGAATATCTTTTTCGGATAAATCGTTAGCTTGTTCCTTCGCTCGATTTGATGGATATTTTTCACGAACAGCAAATCGTACTTCTTCACCTTCATAGTGAGGCCTCAATATATACAAAATTGTCAGCTCATGGTCGGTGAGTATGATGTTACCACGATCGTATAATTCGACTATAACGTGATACGCTGCTTCACCGGTACCAAATTGCAAATCAATTATGCGATCCATGCCAAGTTGTTGCAACTTTTCTAAACGTTTGTTCTTGAGATGCTTTCTCAGCTTCATGCTGAAGCCTGAGGGCGCCATGTTTTTGGGCCATTCGAAGACAGTTGTATGGAAGCGAATGCCAGATTCAATTAAAAGCACCGTTTTTGCTTCCCCTCCTTGGAATCGAATCAAATAGGTTTTGTTGTCAATGTCATATATTTGATTTACCCGATGTCCGACCAAACTACAATTTTTCAATTATTTTTATAATGTTACACTACTTTATTTAAAAACTTACCGCTGCAATTCCGCGACACCACAAACGATGTCGTAAGTGTTAAAGCGTGTTTTCATTATTCCAATGTTTTTATTTTATGATAAAATTAATTTTTGACTCGAAAAAAACACCTGAAATCCTTGCAAAATGCAGCAGCTGACACGCAGTTAGATAGCGATGTGCTGAATTGTCGGTGCCCAATACTTGAAAAAAATTTCGGTACCCAATTCTTCCTTTTCGGTACCCGATACCGAATCGATACATCAAATTTTCGCCAAAATACGTATACAGAAGAAATAAAATAAGATCGTGAAAATTGTTTAAGCTTTAGACAAACCGCCATTCCGATTTTTTATGGCATAACTGCCATATAACCTATACGGAAAATGTATAATATACATCTATATATATACTATGTATACAATTATAATTTTACTCGGCATTAAAGCCCCTATGAGTCCACACATTCGCTATTTCTAGGCGAGGATCCCCTGAATTGCTTCTAAGCGAAGCGCACATTAGAGGTTTGATACCCCCTAAACCGCCTTCCAAAGCTTTGCACATACACACACGAACCCACACACAGTGCCTTGCTACGGGAGCTGATTTTGTCAAGAGGGAGCGAGAAAACTGTTGTCTGAGCAAACCTTTTATTATTGAATCATGCGACATATACACAACGAAAATCAATTAAAACTAAAGTATCAATTTTTCAAATACAATATTCGGTTTGCTCTAAAAAGCTTAAAATTTGTTTTTCTTTTCTTAAAAAAAGTATTGGGTGATTTTTGGTCGCATTTTAGGACCAGCTTGGTAGAAATATTTTTTTTGGTCGCGGCAACACTAACTCTCATAATCAGCTGTTAAGAAGAAGCAGGCGCAATAAACTTGAAAATAATTTGATTCCCCCGTTTATTGAGATAAACAAAGCCTTCCCCCAATAGGAAAATTATACGTATGTAAGTGAAAGTGTAAAAGTTTGTTAATGAAATCGTCAGCAATAATTTAATGTCGATGTTTAAAGCACGGTAGGTAGTAACCTATTTAACAGAATAAAACATAACTACTTATATTCGGTATTACTCATTCTTTAAAAGCGTTAAGGAGTTTGAGGAAGCGCTGGACGAGGACGAAATTGATATTGATTCACTTCGTAAGCTTTGTTTTCATGGTAATAGAAAATTCTTAATTAAAATGCAGTTCAATAAACCCAAATTTATGTTTACTTTCAAGGCATCCCAGACGTGGGTAGCTTCAGAGCAATATGTTGGAAATTCCTTCTTGGTTACCTTGGATCACAGCCGGCTACTTGGACGGAAACTCTTAGCAAGAAACGCACATTGTATCGACAATTTATAGAAGAACTAGTTCTCCCGCCGGGATTAAATTGTGATTCTAACGACAATGAAAATAATTCTGGGCTTAGTGATCATCCATTAAGTGAAGGGCCAGAAAGTGCTTGGAATACATTCTTCCAAGACAATGAATTCTTGCTACAAATCGACAAAGATGTTCGGCGCTTGTGTCCAGACATATCATTCTTTCAACAGGCAACTGAATATCCTTGCGACATAGTGGTACACAGCAAAGGAGAAAGAAGACTGCACCAACGGGTAGTGCCCACTGTGTTGAGCTCAGCAAATGTAGAACGCAAAGGCTTAGGAATGACAAAGGTAAGTTGTGTCATCTAACTTGACCAAGTTTAAGATATCTTAATATAAAAAACTGGTATGTTCATATACATACTTATGTTTTCTTCTTTCAATGCGTGCTGAAGTAGCAGGTAAACTGCAATCAGTCAATTGTAGTATCTATTCATATAGATCTAACATTAGTCAATTTGTATACGTACATATTTATATACATAATATAGATAAATCTCATAACGAAGCGTTCCAATGAAAACTACGCGGCAATGGAAGAAGGACAAGAAGCACACTGGGAAGTAGTGCAACGCATACTCTTCCTTTATGCTAAGCTAAACCCCGGCCAAGGATATGTTCAAGGCATGAATGAGATTGTAGGTCCAATATATTATATTATGGCCTCTGATCCCGATCTGGAATACAGAAGTATGTTAAATTTGTTTTTCAACTTTTATAAACTAAGCAAATATATACATACATACATATGTATGTATTAATACGTAGAACACGCGGAGGCTGACTGCTTTTTCTGCTTCACCGCATTAATGAGCGAAATTCGTGACTTTTTCATTAAAACACTCGATGATTCGGAAGGTGGTATTAAATTTATGATGGCGAAATTGGCTAAGATGTTGAATGATAAAGATCCTGAAGTGTATTTTAAATTAAAAGAGCAAGAACTACATCCGCAATACTACAGTTTTAGGTAAAATAGTACACTTAATTTAAATAATGATAACAATTATGTATTTTATATTTTACAATATATTTTAGGTGGATAACTCTACTGCTATCGCAAGAGTTCCCACTTCCAGACGTGGTTCGCATATGGGATTCTGTTTTTGCAGATGAGCACCGATTCGAATTTTTGATAAGAATATGCTGTGCAATGATTTTGTAAGTTCTAAACCCTTTGACTTGACTTGTCTATTTAAATGCATACTCGCCTAACCACTTAATCATAAAAATTACATGGACATTTTGTATTTCCCCTTTCAGAATTCAAAGAGAAGTAATTCTCCAGAACGACTTTGCATCAAACGTTAAACTGCTACAAAACTATCCACCTATTGATATTAATGTAGTCCTGTCGCATGCGGTTTCGTTGCAAGGATAGCCGTTTCCATTAATTCTTCAAATAAGAATGCACACCCCAGCCAATTTTTATACTCTCTTATAAAGATCAATATTTAGAGTTAATACAAAAATAAATTTTTTTATCCTCTAAGTATTAATTATAATTTTTTTTACGCAAGTAAACAAAAGTATTGTCTTTTGTATGTATCTGCAAACATATTCGAATATGTAATTTGCTCGAAATGTTCTATCTTCTAATAAAATATTTGTATTGCATATTCCAAGAACGCTCTAGTTATTTTGTCCTAATTTATGTGCAATCGCTGCTTGACTATCTACGTATATGTTAACTTTAGAGTTATTTTCACCTCTGCCTGGAATATACTGCAGTGATCCGGCAGCTTGATGGCCGGCGAACATTAAGTTCTGAACAGTACACTCCCGCCCCTACTCCATTATTCATTTTTGAGCCGTCTGTGAAGATGTTGAATGTCTTCCGGCTAGGCTGCATGCCTCTGCGCCATCCGTTTTCTTCGATAGTAACCCGGAACTCCTCATCCCAGTTGTAGCAAGGTACCATGTAGTCCGTGGTAGCTACGTGCCCTTTAGCTATTGAGCTGTGGCCAGCAAGGCTCTTTGCCGCAAGGTCGATATGTGTTATATTCAGCCCAATTCTGCATTTCGATTACGTTCACGCATTCCGCGCCACAACAATCGTAATTTGGTATTCTGTGTTACGATCGAATCGAAAGAAGAGGAAGAGCGAAAACATCTTCGAAATCAGCAATCGAAACACACCCACCAGGATCATGGGCAACACCTGCAGCTCGCCAGACATAACAATCGTCAGCGCTGATATGATAGACAGCATATCATGGCGACCTATGCTGACCTTAGCATCAGACCATCTGCCCATAGTCAACTCGATCGATAAACCTGCCGACTTTGCTTCCGCGGAACACCGAACCTACATATATCAACTTTACTAAAGCTGATTGGAAAGGCTTTGCGGAATTTGCTGCCCTCCCCACACCAACAGACGTTCACTTGGACTTGCGTAATATCCGCAAGATTGTCACTGCTGCTGCAGCTCGCTTCGTACCAGAAGGATGTATAACGGACCCCGTCCGATCTTTCCTGCTGAAGCGGCTATTCTAGCCGTTGAGTGTGACAAACTTCGTCCGGCCGATCCCGGAAATCCCCGCATCAGGGATCTCAATGCGGAGATTCGGCAGCTTGTGAACGCACATAAGTGGAAGAAGTGAAAGAAAAGAAAAGAAAAGAAAAGGCTTGCAACTTCACCTCTGATGTGAGTACGCTTTGGTCAGCCGTGAGGTCACTGTCCAATCCGACAAAGCGCGACGAGAGTCGAAATATCTTTCGGCAAAAACGCTTCATCGGATCCAGAGCGCTGCGCGCGGTATTTAGCCGGTAGTTTACCCTGCATCCTCCGGCGGCTGCACAAACTGCCAACAACAAGTGCGCCTCTTGATTTCACTTGCGGTGAAGTTCAGATAGCCGAAGTATATATAAGTGTTGGTTAGGACCTTTGTGAATTAAGGTAAAGCTTTGGAATTTGTTAGGTACATATCGCTGCAGCATGAGCCGGGCACGAAAGGAGACTATCGAACGTAACACTTAGGGCCTAGTATATTATTTCATAGACATCTACTTGTGCTTGAAGTACAAAATGAGCCCATTTAAAGGGCCTTAATCCTTAATTAGAGCGAGTTTAAACACGCTTCTACAAATATTTTTTCTAGCACAAAACAACAAAATACTGGGGACTGTACCCCAACTTTATCCATTCACTAGAAAATATTACGAACAGACATATTAAACAAAAAATTTGCATTTGTTAATAGAAAAACAGTACGATCACAAATAAATTTTTGGAAAAAACTCAAACATTGCCCAATCCTTACTCAGCTCGTCTTCCTCGCCTAGTCGTCGTGTCATCTTCGTCTACTTCTTGGGATTCAATTTTGGGGCTGTGTCCTTACATATGGTTTGAGCAATAAACTCAATCAAAGTGCGAGTTGGTCGCCCGGCCATGCCTTTGCGAATGTATTCGAAGGCCTCACCGTCGGTCACCATAACGTTAGTAGCGTCCTGAATATAAAAAAAGCACGCATTTGTTTAGGAACTTAGTTTACAAACCCTGAAAGCTCTTACAATATGCATCCATTGTCCGCAAGGGACAAATTCTCGCAAAAATGCGGCCGCCTTGCACGGACGTCCGCCGCGTCCGATTCCGTAATTTTGCACATCGGTGGCATTACTGCTCGTCACTAGTTTGGTGTAGTAGTTCCACAATGGCAGGCGCCATACCCGGTCACCGGTGTGCATGCTGGCGTGTTTGATCTGCTGCCAAAGAATTTCCGAGTTAGTGAAAATGCCGCAAGCAGCCTCATCCAGAGCTTGTCGCATCTGCCCCGAGGGTGTGCCTATGTC